TTTTTTTACCCCTGCTTCAACAGCTTCTGGAACAATTCCTGATAGATTTCATGTTTCTGAAATTTACTGGACTGCAATGTTTTATCTCCAAATACTTTTGCATGGCAGGAGTATTAAAAAAAAAAAAAAGCATGTGGACAGAAGTATGGAGTTTGTTATTTACTTTGGATCATTAACCTGGTCTGTAAATTTGATTTGATCTCTCCTTTTTTTTGTTCCTCCCCCCCTTCTTTGTGTAATTTTAGAGCTCGCAAAGAGACGCTGTCTTCTGCTGCTTCGGGATCCCAGCAAGAAATGGGAATCTGACGGATTGCAAATGCACCTGCTTTGGTTAAAGCCCAGCAAACAGATAAGTGCCCTTTTAACTCTCGTGCAAGAGCATTTTAGACATAGCTGTGCACGCCATCTCTCATCAGTTCGGTTTCGATTTGGTGAGCCCTCTGTGCTCTGCGGTTCTCCTTTCGGCTGAGAAATACCAGACGGTATCGGTATTTCGTGTGAGCTAATTAATGAGCGTCTGAGGGAACGGCAGGCGCCGGCTCCAGCAGCCCTGTGTGGTTTTGGGACTCTGAGGACCAGCTCCGCGGGACCAGATGAGGCTGATGTGACCCATCTGAGCTGTAAGGAGTCCTCCGGGACTCATTAGAGGTCTAATAACTAAACTTGGCTGGTCTGATGGAGAAGATGCTTGTGCAGGCTTGGCGTAATCTCAGGGAAACCAGCTAATGCTGCTGGCAGGAGAGAGGGCTTTCTGCATGTGCTGTTCAGATGTGTGCGGAGAAAGTGATAACCCCTGCTTCTTCCTGTTGGTTTCCAGCTGGAAAAAATAGCCGGGGATGGGGGAAAGAAGCCCTTAGTTATACTGAGTTTATACAGGGCATAAGAAGAGGTATCATGGGCATAAGAAGAGGTATTGTGGCTAAGTGCTAGCAAGAATTGTCCCCTCAAAGTTATGGGGACGTTTATGTCTATGGATGGAAAATACAGACTATCAAGAAAATAATTTCTGGCTGCTTGGGTCTGCTTCTATAGGTGACTGCTGCCTGCTCTTGGACACACCACTGCAATTACTAAATAATTGAAGAAATCCTTAAAATCTGGTCTTATGTACCGTGTGACTTTGCAATAGTATACAGCCATGGGGCTGGGACAAAATATTCACTAAACCTGCAATTTACTGCTTTAGAATAATGAAAAAACCCACTAAAGCCGAGCGCGTGAGCACTGGAGGGGTTGTGTGGCAGGAGAAGGGACAAGACCCAAATTATCTGCTCCAAATCTGTCTTGTCTGCTCTACCAGGGTTAATTAGCAGTGTAAAATGTTTACCGTGCTGTTAGGAGAACTACAAGCAGGTTTTCTACAGCAACTTAGACCGTAGTAACTGATGTGAATCCAGCTTACCTGCTGCAGCAGCAGGTGAGTTTCTTGGTGAAGGCGCCAACCTGGGACTGAGAGAGGGACGGGGGAGAGGAGATGGGAGAGCAGGAGGTGACTGCGGCACGAGAGAGCTGGCTCTAGAGCAACTCGTGTGATCCCTGGAGTGCCTGAAGTTCCCTCTTTTCTAGGAAAAACTTCTACTCCTGCTGTTATTTCCAAGAAAGTTTTTATATTAATAGAAGAAACGACACGTCTGATATTAAGGACTGTGCTCTGTCTTACAATTGTAAATGGTGCTTATTCCTGACTCTTCGATACTCTGATAGCAAAAAGGCTTGACAGTATATTAAGAAACACTGACAAAATCAAGTTCTAGCAAGAAAATCAGGGTTTGTTCATTCAGCAAGGATGGATAGGAAGTTAAAAAACTTAAATCATCTCTGTACCCCAACTAACAGAGCTCGTTGCTCCTTAAAAAAAAAAAAAAAAAAAAAAAAATTTAGCTTCAGAGTTCCTCAAGGCCTTGATTATTAGGTTTGCAGCTTGAAACCTGCTTTCTGCCAGCGTTCTGGTATCAGTGTTCCCCCAAATTAGGTCCCATTAAATTAACCCCAACCTAGCCAGTTCCAGTCTGGGCATCAAAGCTGAATTTGGAAATCATATCCTGAAGTGCAGCATGCAACTTGTAATGCTCTGTGCTCCTTGGCAGAAGAGGCAGAGAACGCTTGCAGTCCCTCTCAGGAGCTGTACTGATGTGAGAGATGCTCCTGAGTATGTTAGATCCACCTGTGGTTCGGTTGGTGCATCCAGCAGCTGAGGAGAACAGATTCAATGGATCTGGACAGGGTTCCACAAAAAATCTCATATGGAAAAGACAACCCCCGAATCCCTAACTCTTTCCTCGTCTTACAGGTGAGCCGTGAGGGCACTTGTCAGACCGTAGCTCCTGAATGCATGACCTTCCCCTGGGATTAGAAGGAAGCCATGGGGAAAGACAAGAAAGGAGAGGAGGCCGTCTTTCTGAGGAAAAAGATAACTTTGCTGCGGGCTTTCTCGCTCCTCATCGGCAGCATGGTTGGCAGTGGCATCTTTATCTCCCCAAAAGGAGTACTGAAAAACTCCGGCACCGTGGGTTTCTCCCTGGTTGTCTGGTTTGCCTGTGGGCTCCTCTCGATGTTTGGTGAGTGGTGAGCTTTGTCAGTCTTTGCTTAAGCATCTGGGAGGTGAGGGGAGCCAGCACATTTTTAAATAAAAAGTATAAAAAGTTGGGAGAAGAATAAACCAAAAATTCCCTGTTCCTGCTGCAACAGAAACAAAGGTTTAACAAGCCTGGGTGGGGAGGGTCACCAGGAGTCTTTAGTTCAAATGATTCCCGCAGGGTGATTGAGAAAATCCCAGCACTTATGGTCTGTGAATACACACACACACACACATGCATATGACATAAAATCATGTGCAAGTCCAGGGCAGAGGGGTGACAATGACTGCAGATGGAGATAGCATGGTGTCTGCCAGGAAAGCTGGGAGAAAATGAGGGGACTCAATCTATAAGGTGGAAGGGAGATGTAAGAGGCACTTGAGAGTCCGAGGGCTGTGCAGTGCTTTGCACAGACACTGTGAAAAGGGCAAGAAGTGACAGCCTTAATACGCTGTGAGGGACCCCCTTTCTGTTGGCGAGGATAGAGAAGCAGTAGAGCAGACTGCCTGGGGAGCTGCAGGGTGTCCACCAGCCAGGGATGGGCGTCTGTCAGAAATGGTTCGGGTATGTCTGATGCTGCCTTGGAGCAGGAGATGGAGCAGATGAGTTCAGCTCCGCTTTCTGTGCGTTACCCTTGGCTCGGTTTCTGGGCTTTTAGTTTTCTTCATTTAACTGTATAAAATCACCATCTCAGAAAATGCTCTAGGTACTGCTAGGAGAACTGCAAGATCTCTCAGCTCTGGGGAGAAATCTGATGGTTATTTCAGTGGGTGACTTTAAAGTTCTTCTCCTGTCATAACTTAGAAAAAAAACAAAACAAAACAAGAAAGGAGAGATACTGCACTTGGAAAAAAACACTTTGGCACTGTGACACATACATGCAAGTTTAGAAATCGAGACATTAAACTCTTAATATGGCAGCAAGTGTGGTTCTTGCTTTTAGCATATGCGTACCGATATTTCACGTTGCAGCCTATGTGTGGTGGTTTGGCGAATGATATATTTTTGCTTAAAGAAAATCTTAAAATATAATGTGAGCACGGTGTTTCTTTTAACTGAGCAGGGCAATAATAACGTGTGCACTGATCACATAGCCCAAGCTCTGCACTTGGAAAGGTTTCTCTCTCCGTTGCATCCTTTGATACTCTGCTGGAAGGGCCTTGGGAGCCTCTTGATCAAGTTATTGTATTTTGTAGCCAAATTTGTTGGTTTGTTCTCCCCTTTCATCAGCTTGATGACCTCCCCTGATCATTCCTCTGACACTTTTTTTGCAGTACATTAAAAAGGCCTGCTTTCTTTTATGCTTTTTTCCTTTCAAGTAAAACATTTATACGAGTCCCATAGCATGAGTTCAGCAAAGCACTTAAATGCATGTTTGAAGCATGTAAAGAGACCCGCTGGAATAAATGAGATGAGGTGTCTGCCTATATTCAACACTTTGAACAGGGATTCTGCACAAATTTGCCAACAGAGGGGTGGGAAAAATCGAGGTCCTCACCATTGGCATGACCTGAATGTGGCACAGTTGCCACAGGACTTGGAGGCATGGCCATATCACCACTGGGTTCCTCTGGGCTCACCTTCCACGTCTGCCTGAGCTGGGCAAAGAAGTCGATAGCACAGCTAGAGATGGTCTTACCCACAGGGTCACATCCCAACAGCGCTCAGCCCCACGGCAAGGAGAGCTGTGCTCAAAGGAGTGAAGTGTTTTACGATTTCTTTTGGTGAACAAGGGATGTTTAACCTGGCAAGTGAATCCAGTGTAGGCAGGGTTTAAGTTTCGTACTCAGGCAGGTTCAAGTGGCATGATGGGATTTTTTTTTTTTTTTTTTTTTGGCACAGGCGAAGGCATAAAGGTTTCCATCCATTTGCCTGAAAGTTTTAAGCTATTTTCTCTGGCATGCCTCTCTCTGTGCCCCGGTGCAGGGACAGGGAGGTGCAGAGGCACTTGCCGAGGCAGGAGGGGGCAGTGGCCAGGTCCGTCAGGGTGCTTGCATGTGAACGTGTGAGAAGAGACCGGCTGAGCCTCTCACGCAGATGCTTCCCCTTGTTCTGCGCCATTGGGGCCCAGTTTTCCTCCGGTGGCAGGTCTTCCCTCTCAGCGGAGATGCCCTTCCAGGTCCCCTGTCTGGTGTCTTCAAATGAAGGAAGGGATTTATGTGAAGATGCGAGATAAGGACACAGGAATGTGGTCTGCAGTCAAAAACGTGATTGAAAGGGCCGGTTCAGCCTCGGCCTGTCGGCTGAGCTGCTGCGACTGCCTTGTAAGCATCATCTCACCAGCCTAACTGTGAGGAGAAGTGAGAACCCCAACCTCCAGGATGTTTTTCAAAGGGAACCTCTTGTAGCATAGTGCAACATTTCTATCACACGCCTTTCCACATAACTTCCATGGAAAAGTATCACTAACCAGAAAATGAAGAATTTCTTTCCTTCTGAGAGAAAAGTCAATAACACAAAAATAGGAAAGAGTCGTTCTGCTAATTCCTTTTTCTTCCTCTAATTCACTACTTATTTTAAAGAGATTCATTGAATCCCTGAAAAGTCACACAGAAAACAGAAAATCCATGGGATGATTTACTCAATGTGTTTCTACCTGAACTTTTCCAGGTGCCTTGTGTTATGCAGAGCTTGGAACAAGAATCACCAAGTCTGGAGGACATTATATCTACATTTTGGAGACATTAGGTCCTCTGCCAAGTTTCTTATTCCTGTGGGCAGAGTTTTTTGCTATCAGGTAAGAGATTTTATTTGTTTGCCTTTTGCTGGATGCTGTGACATGTAAAAACCCAAAAGTTACTGTGCCAGGTAACAGTCTAGGCAGTTGTAAAGGAAAGAGTAGAAACAATCTGAACAACTTTTAAAGATTTTCAGTGATAAAAGGAAGAAGGCATAATCAGTAAATAGTTACATGTGTTCAATGTGATCTGTACTTGAAGAATATCTCACTTCTCCCCTGGCAGCTGGTATCCTCCAAGAGCCATGGTATTTTTCAGAGACTGACAGTAGATGCCAGATTTATTTCAGGTCTTCTGTTTTCATTGTGAAACTTTTTTGGATTCTCTTGTGGAAACAATTTTCTGGCTTAGCCTTGAGTTAAATAATATTTTAGGAAATTGTAAGTGACTTCTTTTTTAACTTTAAAAAGAAAGTCCTCACCTCTCCATAACCTGTGTCCTTGGTGTAAGCCGAGATGAAGCAGGACGTATGAACCACACTGCATTGCTCAGTATGATTAATCTCAACTTTTGCTTTCAAGTTGGGAATTAACCTTTTTGCAGCCTGTGATTTTTAACCCATGTACTGAGAAAAACCTATGGAAAAGGGTCTGTGGGAATGCACCATCTGCATGGGAGAGCAGGATTAACCTGGGTGGGGAAACTTCCCCCGTCCTGAGTTTTGTGCGGTTTTACATCGTGCCATTTTTGGCCATCTGCAGACCACAGTTTGTGCTCAATTCCTCCCCTCCCAGGCCTGCCAACAGTGCTGTGGTGTCTTTGGCGTTTGGACGCTACATGCTGGAGCCATTTTTCTCCCCCTGTGCAGCCCCTGTCCCTGCTGTGAAGCTCGTGTCTCTCCTGGGGTACTGTAAGTACTAACTTGGACAGGACTGCTGATCTCGGAGCCTCTCTGCCCCAGACTAGGGGAAATTACTGGGTGTTATCTTCTGGGATAACTATGGAATTGGGTCTTACCTCCTCGGCCACCCAAAACTTCCTGACCCAAGGTGCTGGTTTGGGGCCACTACATCCTCCAAGGAGGGGAATGGGCCTCCTTGTTGACCAGCTGGAGCCCTAGGTTGGGGGGATTGTGCCAAGTATGGGGGCAGAAACTCTTAATGTACGACTGTGCAAATGCCACCTGGGTTGAGGGTGTAAGGCTCGAAGTTTTGGACTCTTTGTCTGGTGCACCCAGCCTGTGAAGCTGTCCTGCCTGCTCCGGGCTGGTGTGTGCTGGTACCACTACGAGGGGTGCTGCTGAGATGTCCTGGCAAACTCAGACCTTCCCCCCAGGCAGGCGTGGATGACCCGACAGGAACCTGGGTCCTGGTCTCTCTTAGGACCATAACTCAGCTCCCCCTTCAAGTGCTATACCCTGGGCCACACCTGTAATGTTTTCTGACATCTCTCACCCCGAGCATCCTCTCTGTAAAGACGCAGCCTTCTCCCTGGCACCCCTAGAGCAGGATGCGCTGCTGTATATTTTCCTGCATGTGTCGAGCATGGGCTACAGCTGTAGCAGTGTGGTCTCCTGTCCAGACATGGTCCTCACCCTCAACTCCTGGAGCGTCACCTGGAGCGCCCGGCTGCAGACGGCTCTCTCCATCGTCAAACTCCTGGCTCTCGCACTCATCATTGTGCCAGGGATGATGCTGCTGGCACAGGGTAGGTGTGCTGCTGCATGGCTGGGGGAGGGTGCCCAATGTTCATGGCTCTTGTCGGTCCCTGGTGATAAGTGTGGTACTTATTTAGCTGGCAGGAGCATTCTCTGCCTGTGTTCTAGATGGGAATTAGCTGGGAGCCAAGACCAGGGTAGTTGGAACTAAGCTGCATCACTGCACTTGGGCTGATGCAACTGGCCCAGCTGTGCTTGCTCCAAAACTGAGCGAGCCTTGGTGGCTGAGGCTGCATGAGCCTACCCAGGGTCACAGGAGTGCCTTCCTCTGCAGACGGTCTGTCTTTGGTGTCAGTCTTGCCTGTTTTCAGCATGGCTTGAGATCCTCCCAAAGCAGCACAAGTTTGATGGCCATCGGGGATGTGTGACAGCATCCCATGGTGACCCGGGCCAGTCACAGCTGTGTAATGAGTTACCAGCCCTCAGCTGAGCCCTGGTAACTGCACCTCTAACCTTTCGGTGGCTTAAGCTAATGTTTTGTACCTCCTAATTGAGATGGGCAGTAACTTAGTAAACTTAAAATGGGCTCGCATGGGATTGCACACCCACATCCAGAGTGGGGGGAAAAAAAAATCCCTACCAGTAGTATCTTTTGGGAGCGATACAAGAGTATTGGCTTTAACCCAAGCCTCAGTTTATAGAAAAGCCCAAGGCATTCCCACTCGAGGGATGGAGCCTGCTCCCTCTTCACGCTATTACTTCCCTCTGCAGAGAAAACAACACAGGCAGTAGGCTCCGCGTTCGTGTTTCTGATGTCTGGAGCCGACTCCTTTGAACGTGCAAAGATCCTCAGGCTGGCAGCACTTCTGAACTGAAGGACTGCCCTGCAGCTAGAAATCCCGAGCTGTTATTGTTAGGAATGCCTTCAAATGACAATCTGGAGGCCTGGCACCCGTCCTCCGGCGAGGAGGATAAGTGCTGGTGACATCTGGAGGGAGAATTCACCAAGAGACCCCACTATGACAGGTTGTATTTAATGTAACTCATGGGGGACTGTAAATCACTCATTAATGTCTTGCAGACAATAAATCCTTTTTATGTGCCATCACTTATCAGCAATCATTTTAGAACATAAAAAGACTACCCTGAGAGGCCCACTCCCATATTTTGGTTTAGTCGTCTTCACATTTTCTTTTTTACTTTTTTATATTTTCTTTTTTACTTTTTTACTTCTTTGCATTTTCTTTTTTACTTTTTTTTTTGTGCTTAAAAATCAGGTTTTTGCCTTTAAATCAGTTTGCCTGATTCCCCTGCCTTGTTCTACTTCTTTTGGTTACACTCTTGTCCCTTCCTCTGCCATTACCTTCCCTTTGGCTCAGGTTTCTTTTAGAGACTTGCAGGGCCGGTGTTTCAAATCCCAGTGCCCAAATCTTGTCACAGAGCTCCTTGCAGAGGCGCCTCCATAGAAGTGGCCTGACCTTCTCCACATGCTCCATGCCATTTCATCCCTTTCCTGGCAAAGCCCAACTAGACAAGCTCCGCACCTTTTACTTTGAAAGACACTTTGATAGGGAGAACTGAATATAGATGTGGAACCAAACCTTGGGCCACCCTTATTTGAGAATGTGTGAAATACAACTCCTTTTGACTGTGTTTTTTATTGGTCTTCATTTGAATGAGAGGCCATTAGGTGTTTATCCCTTCCTTAGGTTTTTTTTGAGTTTGATAAGATATGGTTCATATCCAAAATCCTGACTTTGATTTTTTGGTTAGGGTTTGTTGGGGTTTTTTTGTTATTTCAGGCAGAGGACTTTTAGGAAAATTGGGGGAGTTGTAGAACGGGATCTCTATCTAAGCCACTTCTACTTTTTAAATTTTATTTGCTTTGCCCTCTGTGCCCTCAGTTCCTCTTCCTGTGGGTGAGCTGCAGTGGCTGGCATGGGCAGCGGGGGGCCAGGCTGGCGGTCCCTGCTCCCCGCTCCCTCCTCCGCCCCGGTTCCCATGCTCCGGCCATCATGGAGCTGGGATCAGCACTCCGGCAGTGGGATCAGGAGGGAGCACAGCAGGAGCCAAATTAGCCGCCTCGCTGGCTGCACCACATCAAAGAGGAGCATGCATCCAGCTGTTTGGGAGAGGAAGAGGGGAGGTCAACCTGGCGAAGTAATTCTGGGCCTAAAGAAAGGACAGGACAACTTGGGTCCTCTCGTCTCCATGATCTCTCATTCCCACAGCAGGTTCTGTCTGAAACAGAACCAGCTGCTGCCGTTGCCCTTCCTGAGATGTCTCCCATAGCTGAACGGGGGGACGGGTTTGTTCTGTCACTCTTTGTGAAGTAAACGCGTCAGCACAGAACCGCACATTAAAGCAATGAAACAAATCTGACTGCCTGGCTCCAAGGAAGTCACAAATGCTCTTCCCAGCTCTGGGCAAGAGCTGCAAGGGGTGTTATCCCACGGGAAGGAAGCCCGTCTCTGATGTTTCCCTGCTCCGTGTCTGCTGTTTCTCTCTTCTGCAGGCCATACCGAAAACTTCCAGGATGCTTTTGACAGGCAGTCGCTGGCTTTGGATAAGCTGCCCCTGGCTTTTTACGCAGGCATGTTCGCATATTCAGGCTGGTAGGTGTGACGGGAGGGCGCGTCATGGGCAGCGGGCTGGCGTCCGAGACATGGCTCAAACTCTCTCCCTGTCTCTTCCCACTGTGCAGGTTTCAGACTGGCTTTGTGCGTGAAGAGTTGGTCAGACCTGAACGGTAAGGCTGTGAAGAGGTCGTCTTGGGTTACCAGCCTCTGGGGTACCGCGGCTTTCCCAAACGCAGTATGGGAGGAAATAATTTTGTGGGTTCACCTAACCAACGCCAGCTGCGATCTGCAGTAATACTGTGCGGAACAAGGGATAACAGCTTGTTCTTCATGTGTGTCTTCCCTTTTCTTGTAGAAATATCCCCCTGGCTGTCATCGTGTCTGTGATCACGGTAATTGTGGGGTACATGCTCACCAACGTCTCCTATTACACGGTCCTGGGAACGCAAGACGTTCTGGCTTCCCCTGCTGTGGCTGGGGGGGGGTGTTGCCGTTGTCTTGCTTCGGTGTGGTCAGCTTATGCTGAAGGGGTGGTCATGGCAAGTGTTTCGGAGATGAAAAATGCCTTAAAATGCCTTATTGGTTTGTCATTTCTCTGGATTATTGGGCAACAGTAACTTCTTCTAGTCTTACCTGAAAGATAATGCAAAATAACCTGCAGATGACAGCAAAAAAGGCAAGATCTATGAGTTGTATTTTACTCCTTCGATGGACGAAGTTTTCTTTCTTTTGAATCTGGTGGTGTTGAAAGATCACCACACGTTCCTAAAGTCACACTCGCTCTTCCTCCAGAGCTTTGTGCAGCGAGCCTTCAAAAGCCTGATCTCCGTGGTCCCTGTCCTTGTTGCACTGTCCTGCTTTGGAACTATGAATGGAGGAATCTTCACGTTTTCAAGGTCATGTCCCTAAGAATTTGTTACTCTTTTCGCTTACCAAATCAGAGGGAAGCACCAGTGACCTCTGCAGCTGCCCACCCGTGCAGTGGCATTTTAGCCACTCTTGTGGGAAAAATACGGCCTTTGACTCCCAGGACGTCAGCTACAGGATGATCCCTGTTGGCCAAGAGTCCACACTTTCTATTTCTGGCCAGGTCCAGACTTTGGTATCTAGGGCTGGTCACAAAGATTTTTATCCCTGCCCCCTCCTTCAGTTTAAATCCCCAGCTTAAAGTGAAACGTCAATGTTTCTGGTGAACTAGAGGCTTTGTTGACCTTGGCAGCTGCTCAGTGAGACCGCGTCTTCTTTTGCTGGGTTCACCCAGCTGCGGGGCACGGGGTCCCTCTGTTGTGAGGATCTCTGGCCAAAGGCAAACTCTCCCTCAAGGACTTTGCTTTGAGGTCAGTGAGATGTTACTGGGGACAGGCTATTCCTGAAGCAATCAGCGATGCTCAACAAGTCTTGTTGTAGCAATAAGAAAAGCTTTTTTCTGTGGAAAAATTATCTTGCCAGCTTCACTGGCGACTCTGCTGCGTGTCCTTATGGGAGCCTTGAAATTGGAGAGGAGGGCAGAGCTCACGGAGAAACATGTTGTGCCGGTCCCGAGGAGCCGAGCAAACTCTCTGGAGCCGGTTCTGTTTCACAGCTTTGATTGCAAAAGGAAAAATCAGTTGATATGAAAGGGATATTTCATGACATGAAAGCTAGTGAGTTACTTTATCCACTACCCTGAAGTCCTGTATTAAATACAGGTGCGGAGAATCCTCCCCCTTGGCTCCTCTAGGTAGTGGTTTTCCTTGAGGATCAGAAGTCCCTGGACAGCACAAAGGTTCCGCATGTCCCTATCGCTTTTCTCTCCCCCATCCTGGCACCATTAATATAATAATTTCAGAAAGGCCACATAAACAGCGATGGGGCCTCCCTGGCTGCCGGCCAGCCACACCCCTGCAAAACCACAGAGACAGCGATAAAACCAGTTTTACACTCAAAGCCCCAGCTGCTCTGGGCCCTGCTCCAGCCCAGCTGATGCTCTGGCACTGTTTCTGTGTGGATATTAAATTTATAAAATTGGATGGAATGCCTTCTCCCTAATTGCCCTTTCACGAGTCAAAGGAGGGATGGAGGCAAGGAGCTCTCTGCTGTCATTTGTAGCTGGTCTCTGGGCTGTACACCAAACTGTATTTTCCAACAGCTGGCCAGAGGATTGAAAATCCTCTCTTATTTGAGGAAAATGCACTTTATTTTTTTATATATACAGTTATATACTTTTTTATATATGTGTGTGTATATATATATAAAAATGTAGGCATCAGGACTGACAAGTCCCTTCATAAACTCACCAGCCTCTTTTATAAAGAATTGAAGTTTGTGACCCCTCCACTTCCTATTGGAAAGATTAACCCCTTCCCTGATGGCAGGAAACTTTCTTGCTTCTGTTCCCAGCCTGAACTGGGAACATGGTCACTTTGGACTTGCCCAAAGGTCTCTGGTGACGGGCCACCCAAGGGGGATGCTGCCAGTGGTCCCGCTGGTGGGCTCTGCGCTGTGTTGAACTAACTGGTCCTGGGAGAGCCATGGGAATTCAACATGGGGTTTTTCTTCAAATGCCCCTAAAATGTGGCTAAAGGCAGAGCTGTGGCCTTGAATAGCAGACCCGTGCTGGGGGGGGGCGCTGTGCCTTGTGGCCTCAGGTCAGTCCAGTGACTGATCTTCTCATTTCCAGTCTGGACGTGGGATGCTAATGCATAGGGCTCCCTGTCTTTTCCTAGGACTCTGTTTGTGGCTTCCAGGGAAGGGCAGTGGCCTCCTCTTTTCTCCATGATCCACATTCGAAGGCATACGCCCCTTCCCGCTGTCATGTTAATGGTAAGGAGTTCTGGCTGTGTGATATGCCCTGTTCTTGCAGTCTTGGCTTTTTTGCAAATCCTGGAGAAGCTGCAGACTTTTAAAGGGTGTTGAGACACTAAGTCAGCCTCCGAAAAATAAAGAAGGTGGAATACTGGAAATGGCAGCAAAGTATTAAGTCCCCTTGTGCCAGCAGTGGTATCCAAACCCACTGCCTCCAAGTCCCTGCCTTATAGCCTTGGACACCTTTTCTAAAAGCACTGTCCCTACCAACTGCCACAGTTGCTGCTTGATATTGTCCTATGAAAACACCTCTGCCAGGCTTCGGTTATTTGGAAAACGAAATGTTTTCATTCCCAGGTGCAGTGGAAATGCAGGGAATAAGCATTTGCAGAGATGCTCTTAGTTTTGGTTTGTTTTTTTTCCGGCAATGGTCCAGCTCCATCCTAACTGTGCAGCAGTCCCCCTTGCAGCTTGGCTGACCTGCTAAAAACTTAGCAGGTATCTTTGTCGGCAGCCTTTGTACTGGCAGCGCAGGCTTTTGGATCATGCAGGCTTTAATTGCCCTGCCTAGGACAGAAAGCATCAAAGGTGCTGTTGGTCTTGAAAGGATTGATCCTTTCTGTAGCACACCATAATAGCGTATTTAGGCCTTTTGCCTTCAGCCTGTGACACTGTTTTGTAAAGCTCCCTGACCTCTGAAATGTTGTGGCTGTGAAGTAGCTGCCTGTGATTGCAGGGGGGCTGGAGGAGGTGATCCACTACCCTTTCTTGTCCGAGGACCATAGTAAGGCTTTAATGACTGTATTTCATCTTCACAATGCTCAGTTCCCTTTGGTTACTACCATGGTGTGTATCGGAGATATCTACCATCTAATGAACTTCTTCAGCTTTTCCCGATGGCTCTTCATAGGATTAGCCACCCTCGGGCTCATTGTCCATCGCCGCCGTCACCCGGAGCTGCAGAGCCCCTTCAAGGTAAAGCATGGTCTGTATCTAACAGCCACGAATGTGCAGGCTTGTCACTTCTCTCTCTCTTATTTGCTAATAATTAGAGCATGACATGGCCATGATTGCCTTTGGGCTCTAAGGGGTCTCGATCCCTAT